TGTGATTTGTTTTGGTCCGGTCTGTTCTCTACTCTGTTGGCCATTTTAGTTAGCTTCTGCTGCTATTTGTATCTGTATTTCTATTTTGTGTTTTCCTGTCCGCTGTGCATGTTTGTTTTCTTTTGTACAGCACTTTGGTTGGCCTTGTTGCTGTTTTATGTGCTCTATAAATAAATTGGTATGGTACTAGTACCGAGGTTTTGATGCAGTACTAGTATTGAGGGTTACTCTGACTGTAAGAGTATTTAAGTATTAATAAATTTCATGTTTCACTCATGTGACTGTGACATTGGTTGATCTCCACAGATCTTGGTCTTGGGCAGATGTTCTGATGGCATGAACTCACCATACGTGGTGATGTGGGAGATGCAGCGCTCGATGGCTGCTGGGACAGACCCTTTCAGCATTGAGTCAATCACCGGGTACAGAACTGAGCTCTGATTGGCTGCTGGAGGACACTCTGGAGCTGAGTCCTGATTGGCCAGGGCTCTCTCCAGATGTTTGAACCAGGTCTCACAGCTGTGTTGCTCTTGGAAACGCAGTGAAATCCTCCTGAGGAGACAAACAATAGGATTTTACTGGCTTCACCTGCTCTCCAAAGGACTGGTGTACACTTTCAGTTCTGTCATGGTCAGAGGAAGGTTTGGACCCAGAAGACGCAGGACTCAGGAAAATACCTTATGTTCAACTAAAGACAACCAAGTTCTGATGTTGCAGCCACAAACCCACATGAGAGGAAGATCATCAAACAATGCTGAACTAAAAACAATACCAATGAACATGAGCCTAAACACCTGGCAGGGACATGACCAGGTACAGGTGAGTGTGGGCGGGGCCAGAGCAGGACTACACAGGGCAAAACTGAAGCAGTTCATACACAGATCCTGAAAAAATACAAAGAGAATTTTAAAAACAATGCAACAGGACATGTGTGATGAAGTTTACTCGTCTTCTTTTGGTTCTGGTTCAGGTTAGGTTCAGGTTTGGTTTATTTGTCATATGCAAAATCAACACAAGGTCAACAATGCAATGAAATGCTCAGGACGAGAAGAACTGTCTCGACTCACCAAAAATTAAAAAAAAGAAGAAAAAAAGAAGAAAATGAAATATAAAAGCATGCAGCAAAAGTACTAAAAACATACTAAAAAATACTACTAACATAATAAAAAACATACTCAAAATACTACTAACATCCATCCATCCATCCATTATCTTTACCCGCTTATTCCATTTTGGGTCACGGGGGTCGCTGGTGCCCATGTCCAGCAATCACTGTGCGAGGGGCGGGGGACACCCTGGACAGGTCTCCAGTCCATCACAGGGACACATAGAGACAAACGAGACAAACAACCATTCACTCTCTCACTCACACCTAGGGACAATTTAGAGTTATCAATCAGCCTAACATGCATGTTTTTGGTCTGTGGGAGGAAACCGGAGCACCCGGAGAAAACCCACGCATGCACGGAGAGAACATGCAAACTCCACCCAGAAAGGCCCCTGGACCGGGGTTTGAACCAGGGACCTGCTCACTGAGAGGCAGCAGCTCTACCAGTTGCACCACCGTGCTGCCCTTACTACTAACATATGAAAAAAAACATTAAAAATACTACTAACACACTAAAAATCATACTAAATATACTACTAAAATACTAAAAAACAAGGCGCCAAAGCTGAAAAAGAAATACATCTATAGTGTGATTCGGTTAGCAGTGAGGTTCTTTTAACATCATGGATCTGTTCCGTTTGCGGCATGGTCTTGTTAGTAGCTTAGCAGGTCTTGTTAGCAGGTCCAGTCAGCAGGTTGATGGGAATAAGGACCACAGCAGCTGTCCTCACAGACCTCAATCCAGAACCGGGTCGGGCAGAGAGAGAACAACCAAGGTTTCCTCACAGAACTGAATGGGTCCGTAGAGTTTGGTCCATGCACGCAGATGGAGGATAGCGATAGCAGCGTGAGCAACGTGGGCAGCGTGAGCAGCGTGAGCAGCGTGAGCAGCGTGAGCAGCGTGGGCAGCGTGAGCAGCGTGAGCAGCGTGAGCAGCGTGGGCAGCGTGAGCAACGTGAGCAACGTGAGCAGCGTGAGCAACGTGAGCAACGTGAGCAGCGTTGGCAGCGTGAGCAGCGTGAGCAGCGTGGGCAGCGTGAGCTGCGTGAGCAACGTGGGCAACGTGAGCAGAATTTGGCAGCGTGTGCAGCGTGAGCAGCGTGGGCAGCGTGGGCAGCGTGAGCTGCGTGAGCAACGTGGGCAACGTGAGCAGAGTTTGGCAGCGT